CAGAGGGCAGCGACGTGGCGCTGGGCCCCGGGCTGCTGGGGCGGCCGGACAAGGTCCACGGGGGCAGCGGCCGGGGTGCGGCACTGCTGGGGAGCACGCCTGGCTGGGATGGGGCTCCTCACCTGGGGCTGGGCAATCCCAGCACGAGATAAAACCAGGAAAGTGGTTTTGTGTAGGAAAACAAAGTAACACGAGCTTGGCTTGTTCAGCTCAACTTGACTCAAGCAACATGGTGCCCAGAACTGAAGGCGGCTTGTGCAGTTGGGTAAAGGGATAAAGGCAAGATGTAAGGTGGGTGTGGGGAGAACACATCAAGCAGCATTCAGCTAAGCCAAGTGTTGCTGTGCCAGACACTGAGGATGATGCGTAGAACACTGATTTTGGGAGGAAAAGGTGATTTCTTTGCATGGAAAACATTGGTGTCTTGGAGAAGGGCTGTGGTGCTGGTCAAAGTTTAAGGAAGTCCTTGGGCAGGAGCAAGAGCAGAGTAGATTCCTGGAAGCCCCTTGTACCCTGCCTTAACAATTAGGGATTAGCTTAATTGCAGCAGAGTGAAAGCAGAAGTTGCACAAGTGCTATCTGGTGCTTATCTCGCAGCGGGCAGGGAGGCTGACGACATCGTCAACTGGCTGAAGAAGCGCACGGGCCCCGCGGCTGCCACCCTGGCTGACCCTGCTGCAGCTCAGGCCCTGGTGGACTCCAGCGAAGTGGTGGTGATCGGGTTCTTCAAGGTAAAGTCTGTGTTTTTGTTTAGAAGCTCTTGTGTGTGTTTGGGGCTTTCCCTGCTCTGTGTCCTGTGGGACTTGCCAGCTGGGGATGGCTCCATGTTGTGAAACACTGGCTGCCCTGCCTTACTTGATCTTCTGGTTCCTCGCTGGTGAGCCCTGGGATGTTTGTGCTTGGTTGGATGTGTCCATGTGAGACACCTCTCTGTGTTCCCAGGATTTGACATCAGAGGCTGCAAAGGAGTTCCTGTCAGCAGCGGAGGCTGTGGACGACATTCCTTTTGGAATTTCCTCCAGTGCCGAGGTCTTTACCAAGTACCAGCTCAGCAAGGATGGGGTGGTCCTCTTCAAGAAGGTACTGGCTTGTGCAAAGCACTGTGTTGGAGTCTTCTGCCTCTTTAATGAGCCCCACTGGAATGAGGGCAGCTCAGCCCTGGAGCTGCTGGGTCTGGGTCCAAGCAGAGCCTCTGCTTGCTGCCTGGGTCTGGGGACAGCACAGCCCTGGTCACACCATGAGTCAGACCCTCCTGGCTGCAGGGACACACACATTGTCCCCCCTGAGCTGGAGCTGAGCTCTCCATGGCAGCCACCGTGCCCTTGTGCCTTCAGACACACACAGAACTGACCCTGCAGCTCAGTGGGGGCTGTGGCCTAGAGCTCTTCTGTCCCTCATGCTGCTGAGGCTCCTGGGGTGTCATGATTCCAGAGTTCCTAAGAGGCTTTGCAGCCCCAGCTGATCAGGCTGGGTTGTGTGCAGAGGGGTGCTGGTCACCTGCAGAACCAGGGGTAAACTTAACTGGTGCATTTTACTGCCAAATCTCGAGTGACCAAGATGAAGTCCCAGGTTTAAGAAGACATGTAGATGTTCCTCGGACTTGGTGGTGCCACATGTGTGGGTGAAATGAGGCAGGACAGAGCTGCTTTGGGCTCAGACTTGCTGGACCTGTAATCTGGTCACTCATGGGTCTGACCAGTTAGAGGTGAGAGAGGCTAAAGAGTTGAGTGAATTTATTTGTTTCTTTGTTCAGCTAAACTGGCATATTTTATTCCACTGCATCTCTGAAGTTATTTTTATGGTGCCTGAAGTTGATAGACCTAAATTCTCAGGGGTCTCAGATCAGGTTGGGATGCAGGAAATTCCCTGGCTAATGAGTTCACTGTGCTTGGGTTTTGCAGCTGGAAAGGCTGGGGTGGGTGAAGGGAGCAGTGTCATGTTCTTGGCTGGGTAACTGCTTTTTTCCACCCGTGTCTTTGTGTGATCCCAGTGCTCTATCCATGGTCACAGCTGGGCTGGAGCTGCCATTTCCAGGGAATTTCTCTACTCATGTTTGTGTCCTTTAGCAAAGGCTGGACTCCAAATGAAAACACTCCTCTAGAGCTGACCAGTCCTTGGGTTGTGGGGACACCCAGCATTGGGCTCCCAGCAGGGTGGTGAGTGAGGTGGCTTTGAGGTGGTGGTTGCACTGGGCCTTTGGCTATGACAGATTATTGCTTTGGGTTGGTTCAGTTACCTGAGTGTTCATGGTCACCTCTCCATGGGATGGGCTGGTGTTGGCTTGGGTCAGCTCTCCATGGGATGGGCTGACTGGTGTTAACTTGATCCTATATATGACCCTCTGAGCCTCATGTCCTGCCAGCTCTGTTACTGCTTCCTCTGCTTCAGGAGAGCTGGAGTAGGAGCTGACAGTGGAGGGATTTTCAAGCTGTTTTCTGTACGTGCTGTCAGCTTGGACACATCTGGAGTGAAAGGTGGCTCTGCACTTAGCAGCTTGTGTCAGGAGCAGGAGGGTCCTTGGCCTGAGAGGCCCTGAGGGCCAGGGCACTGCAGGGGGGCTCTGAAGAGAGGAGCTGAGATGCCTGTAGCCTTTGGGTGCTGCTCCTTGTTCATGTCTCGGTGTGATGCCATGGTGGTGCTGTGGGAGCTCTTGGATGTGTCCACACACACCAAGGTGAAAATGAGCACCAGCAGTAACCAGACATCAGGGCACAAGAACCAGATGGTTTATGTTACCAGTTATTAAGTCTTTGGACTTTGACTCAGCATCCTGTGGCTAGTTGGGTCTAAACTGTGAGGGTTTGTTGGTGAGATCTTCTCATCTCATTCCCTGTGACAATTGTCCAGACTGCAGAGCCCTCCAGCAGCTGCGCTGGGGCCACGTTGGATGCTCTTTGAGGTATCTACAGAGTCAGTGCCAGTGTAAAGTGTTCTGCTCAGCTCTTAGCTGGGGCTGGTGTGCTTCCCCTGGCAGGAGGTTATCTGAGTCCACACTCTCCCTTCTGCCAGTACCTGGAGCCTTGCCCTGCCCTGGAATTGCTGCATTATCTGCCACATCCTCTCTCTAGCCCTGATGGCCCTCAGCAGCTGTTCCCTTTCCAGGCTGCCAGGGAGGCTTCTGAGAATCCTGGGCAGGAATACAGGTGATGTCCTGATTGGAACAAGGATCTGGCACCTCTGGTGGTGTGTGTGTGTCAAACACGTGCTGTCAGCTCCAGAAGCAGGGACTGAGCTGACCCAGGCCCCTTCCCAGCTGGCTGCGCTGCCGGCGGCCCCAGTGCTGTGGGGTCAGGGTGTGTCTGTGTTAGCACCACTGATCCCAGGGCAGGACCTGCCCCTGCTCCCACCCCTTCTCACTGCTCTGTTGCCCCCTGCAAGGAGCCTCTCGAGGTCCTTGGTCACCAGTTTCACAAACTGTTCTGTGACTGCAGAATGAAGCCAGGATCCAGGCTGGCCAGCTGGCTCCTGCTCCCCTCTTGCCGCTCGGTTCCCATGGGCTGTGGAAGTGTTCTCATCACAGGATGTCTGTGTTTTGCAGTTTGATGAAGGCCGTAACAACTTTGAAGGGGATCTCAAAAAAGAGAATGTACTGAATTTCATCAAGTCCAATGCATTGCCCCTGGTCATAGAGTTCACGGAGCAGGTAGGTCTTTGGGTGTCCACTGTTACACCACAGCTCCTGTAGGAGCAAGCAGCTCTGTGGTCCTGTTTTATCTTAGAGCTGACACTAGCTTGGGCTTCTGGAGGCTAGTGCAGAACCCATGGGGAGGGAGGCAGAGGCTTGCTATTCAGGTCAGTCCTTTAGTACCAGAGGCTCCTGTGGTCGGTCAGAGTAGCAGAGACAAACTGATTTACCTCCCCTCTAAAAACAGTGTTTTCTGCTTCTCAGACTGCTCCTAAAATCTTTGGAGGAGAAATCAAGACTCATATTCTGCTGTTCCTACCAAAAAGTGTGTCTGACTACCAAGGGAAGCTGGACAACTTCAAGAGTGCAGCTGGAAACTTCAAAGGGAAGGTGAGATGGGCCAGTTCAGCTCTGTCTCATGCATGCCTGGGTGTGAAGTGTTGGTAAGCAAGAGGTGCTTGTCCTCACCACATGCCTTTGACTTTTTTCCCCCAAAGATTCTGTTCATCTTCATCGACAGCGACCACAGTGACAACCAGAGGATTTTGGAGTTTTTTGGCCTCAAGAAAGAGGAGTGTCCAGCTGTGCGTCTGATCACGCTGGAGGAGGAGATGACCAAATACAAACCTGAATCAGATGACCTCTCAGCAGACAAGATCAAAGAGTTCTGCAACAAGTTCCTGGAGGGCAAGATCAAGGTAATGAAGATAAATGCTGCTGGTGGCAAACCTGCTGGGATAACAAAAGGCTCCCTGTGAGGAGCTGTGCGAGTCACCTGGAGAAAACCCCCTCAATTAAGGTCTGGAGCAGGCCTTGTTCTGGGAAGGGCGGCAGAGCTGCTGGGGCACAGAGGCTGGGGGTGAGCTGTGCTGGCACCTGAGCACAGGCAGCCTGTGAGCTGCCCCTCCTGCTCCCTGGGTGTTGATCCAGCTGCAATCCTTGCCAGCAGCCGGGAGGTGTGAACTTGGGTGAGACACTTGGAGTGCTGGAGGTGGCTGTGAGCAGCTCACCCTGTGGGGACTGTTCAGCCAAGCTCAGTCCCCTGGGAATGGTGCTGTCAGCAAAACTGCTTCCTTCCCACAGGGCTCGATTGCAGTTCTCTCTGCACTTGAGCACCTGCTATTCCTGCT